ACTTAATGTCATTTTAAACTGTAGTTCAAAAACTATGTATCCAGTTAATGCTAATAGGTATCATTCTGGGAACAGTACAATTTCAATAAGATAAAACACTTTTTCTGCATGAACCAGGTGGCTGCCTGATCACGATACTCTTTAAAAATTAAAATGTCTTTCACCTGTTGAAAAACTAACACCAAAGAACTTTAAACCTAGGTGCTCAAGTACTTGCTTATCTGCTTGAGAAAATATACCACCAGCGTATACCACAAATATGTCCACATGAGAATGTTTTCCTTCTGAAATATCAAATTGCTTGTGTTATTAGATGATTAATCAAGTTTGTTTGGCATTATCCAATATGAAAAAAATTATTCAAAATTTCTCAAGTTCCAATTTAACAAAATCTGTCTAAGCCATTTCTTAAAAATCACACAGCTTTCATTGAAGGATGTCTAGAATGCTTCCATTATTCTTTGATGACATCTGCTCTGATCACCTCCCATCACTTTTCTGTATGCAGAAGATGCAGATAATGCTCAGATCTTCTTTTCTTTCGAGACTTCTCATATGGCATGTTTGGTAGTTAGCAACTTATTGATCGAAGGATCTCATGGAGCTATTACTTGAAAGAAGCCAAGGTACTGAAATCTATCACATGCCTGGGTAGGTTGTTCTATACTCCCAAACCCATTTGGGTAAAGAAGGGTTTCCTATTGGGGGTTTTAAAAGCTCTTCCACATAGTTTCCACTTGTGTCTTCTGGTTCATGTTTTACACTTCATTTTGAAGAGGCCTTCTGTGTTGATTTTGTCAATGCCTTTGACAATCATAATATGTTCATGGGTGATTTCATATCCAAGCAACAGTGGCTCAACAGACCAGAGATTATTCTGGTTTTCCTTGCACTGAATGTATGAAAAAGCATGCGACTCACCCTCACAGATGGGACACCAGTCCATTGAGATGATTATCCCCGGAAATACTGGTCATCATTTATATGTGTAGAGTGGACCAAATGAGGTAATGCACTCTTAATTTTAGGTATAACTGTATGTCTGCAGCAGGGACCAGAGACTTACCTACCACTCTATACTGCCCCAATAATAATATGCATTTACTGTAGTAATATAGTTATTATTAAATTTGTATTTGTACAAAATATTTAAATGTACACATCTTTAAAAATGTAATGTAGAAATTAAATAAGGATATTCTGTACTAATATTGCAGCACTAGTGCAAAATTGTGCAATTACATGACATACCATGTAATTATAGGAAAGTTATTGGTACTGTATATTGCAGTTTATGTTTTTCAGCTTCAATCTTTATCTTTTATTATGAGTCACTCTTTATTTATGGAACGAATGTTTCGTACTAATAACCTCTCTTGATTTCTAATTACAAAAGTCAGTGCTTTTGTTACTTTAAACTCAAAATAATTCCTAAACATTTGTTTGTTGCTGCTAACATCCATCTCATTCCTACTATCATAATACTTTTCCACAGTATAAAACAATGTTAGTTGCTTGGAAACTAACCATACTGCTAACAGTTCTAGCCATCTTGCAATTATTATTGAGAGGGTTGATATACTAAACATTGTGACAGTGGGGTGGGAGAGCACTGTTAAAAAGTCAGCGCCCCGGGTGAGGGGACGGAAGTACTGATGTGAGGGTAGTAAGGACCACAAATAATACAAAAAGAGGTGAAAAATAAACGAAAAGTGTAGTGCTGTGCCTCGTGACCTCCCAGCTGGGCGTACCCTATTTAGCAGGGTTCAGCCTGGTAAAAAAAGAACTGCTAGCACAGCAGTGACCAGATTGGATTTATCCTATTTAGCAGGATCCAGTCTGGTAGAACAGGGTGTGTAAGGTAAAAACAAAAATAAAACTTGTGGAAAAGGAACAGTCTGCCCCTGTGGGACTGCACAGCAAGACAGGCAAAAAAAGAAAAAGAAAAGCAAAAGAACACCCTACATGAGTGTAATTCCCCCTGGGACTGTTGGTGTAAAACTCCCCCTTCCAAAGGGGGGGCCTGCTCATCCCTTTGGGAGGGGTCCAGTGTGCCTTTATAGGACCTGCCCATCTATGGCTCATCATCTAGAAGCGAAGACATCTGGGACTACAAAGACGAGGCGTCGCCCTTCTACCTGGGCTCTGCCTCCATACTGGGCATCCCCCCACGTAATGCCACAACATCCAATTACAAAAAAACAAAGGAACTTCCTCATTGTCTGTTATCTGCAACCACACAGCATGTGAGCCATGACGACACTTGAGGAACTTCTGCCTCATACATCTAGCTCTATTTGGCATCTATCAAACTCCAGCTGAAACACTGAGTACAAGAAAAAGGTGGCTCTTGGTTTCAAATTATTTCATAGATGTTATTAGTAAGAAACAATACTCATAATTAAAAAAATGTCATGAATGAAATGGTTCATTTCAAAACTGTGTGCTACAGTAAGAGAAAATAGAGATCGTACAATTCCATAAGCATCTAATCACTGTGCAGTTACACCTCGGTACTCATATTTGTGGATATTAGTCACCTTTAAAAGATCAAATTCAGAAACCAAATTGACCACTTTGGTTGCATGTTGTGTACCACCAAATTCAACACGGGAACAATCAATTTTTAAAAAAAAATGTCTAAAATATTTAATATCTCCTTTACTTGAACATTACACACAGCTACCACACACAGGGTTGATTAATGAGGAAGGAGTTCTACTCCTGCTCCTTATAGAAAGAGCAATTTTACACTGACAAACACATTTATACTTTTAATACTATTTATTAATGACAAGTTTATTCCACAAATAGTGCTCCTCAGCAAAATATAAAATGATAGACTCTGTAATTATAATATACTAAAATTATAAAATTTAATTTCTACACTTCTACTTACAAGCCAAATTTGTAAAGACTTCTTTAATCCTGTTTCAATTATGTTGAAGTTAATCTGTTATCATAATTTAGATATGGTATCTCTCAACTTCCATTTCTGGGAATGTCATGCGCATATTGGAAGATTGAGTTTAATGATAGACATTCATTTTGCATGTTGCCTATCTATTCTTAAGTGGTTTCTTGCCAGGATTGGTTCTGGCATCCCCCTTGATGCATTGCTGGATAAAGCAGTTTAGAAAATGAATGGATGGACAGTGTCAGTTTACATTAAACACATGCTAAGCCAAGGGTTTAGATTTGGAAAACCATTAGAATGCTGGCTGAATATTGATTTATGTGAAGTCAAATGCTCCAGATGAACTGGCAGAAAAAAACACAAAGTGCTTTAAATATATATATAAATATATAGTAAGGATAATGCCAGGCCTATATGAGAGGACTGTCTGAGTAAAAGCTGCAAAGGATTTTTTTTCAAAGTTCTTATATTTCAGTAATGTTTAGAAAATGTCATTGTTAAACTCAAAGTATCATGTTGCTCATGAAAAAGACATTACAATTCAACCACAGCACATGGTGAAGTGAAGGAAGCTGCACAATGTGAAAAGAAAACCCACATTTTTTGCAGTAGCTGTAAAAGGTTCATGTTCAGCCCACAGAGAAAAAAAAATCAACATGACCATGAAAGCCTTGACATATCTCAATTCTCTCAAGAGTAAAATTATTTTGCGCACAGTTCAGTAGATTTTAGTCATTTTCGTTATCGATGTAGCTGTGTACTGGACCATGGACCTGACAAATGGTCTTATCTATAGGCTGTTTAATGGAATGAATCCCATTTCACCTCTTTGCAGAATATTCCCTTCAATCAGCAGGTCTGTGCCTGGAAATTCATCATGTCAGTAGGTTCATGGATTGCCACACATGATTAAATAAACATGAGAACAGTAGAATAAACTGTTTCTTAAAAGAAAACATACAATTGGTAAAACATCCATGAATACATGTCTCAATATGTTACTCCTTCATACAATGCACTTACCCTACAACCTGTGGTATGGATTTATTAAATATGGATTCCCATATTTTGTTGTACATATTAAAACAAGGTTATGAAAAGCATTTAAGAGACGTACTTGTGAAATATATCCCATAAGTTAGAGCAACCATTATTTTTTTTGTATTTTTGTTAGTTTCTTATACTAAGATTTGGATTTGCAGTCATCCTGGAAAAATGAAAATGTATAGTAATCGATTGGGAAACAATGGTCTGAAAGATATATGTCCAAATGTCAGATTGTTTACCAATGACTGATGTCGTTGCAATAGGCTAAAATGTATAATACTATTGAAATTGACAACACCGTGAACAGTTAGCAAAATGTGGTAAACTGAAGTAAGAAATAAGCAAGGGCAGGGATCACTGTGAGGTTCTGACTTGTGGGAATCCTAGTTTGGGGAATAAAGTATATTACATTTTAAAATGCAAATATAACTAATTAAATTATTGTCAACATATATGTTTTCCACTCACACCACAATTTGACATGTTGCGCTATGTTGTTTCAAGTAAAAATAAATATGTTCTGCACAACAAATAGTGTTCAGGAGACCTTAGTTGTTGAGTAGGCTTTTATTATTCCCTGCAGAATAAAATTCCTGCAGTTCTATCTAAATGCTGAATCACAACTGGATGAAGGCCAATACACGCATCCATGAAAAAATTCTAATCCTCTATTGAATAGTTGTAAAGCTGACATATTCCATAAAGCTCTGTAAATGCAAAATGCAGAATTACTTTTGAACTTAAATTAAAAAATGCTGAACATTATAAAAAGAAAGTGTTGCCATTTAGCAAGCTTTCTACCCAAGACACTTCACAAATTCAAAGCTAAAAAACTACTTTTCAATGAGTTATCCAAGGTATAATGATAGAGACCATAAAAATATAGTGCACATTATGCAAATGAATAGTAAAACATCCCCTTTAAACTACGTACTGTATATGTTATCTGTAACTTTTCAAGGTCCATTCTTTGTGGTACTGTGCAGTTTTAAGGTTTCTGAAACTACTTGAAGAAAAAGCATGATCAAGAACTTACCTCCTAATGCTTGCTTCATAACAAAGTCCATGGTGATGGCTTTTAATTCCTTCCTTCTTCTGCTTTACAATCTTACATTCAGAGTAGACAGTTAAAGTAGTCCTTTCTTGCCAGATCTAAAATTTACAACACATAACACAACTTCATTTTTATTATAAGCAAAAAACACTGTTTCATTCCATTGTGTTAAAGACAGTATGATAATACTTCTAAGGAGGTTAAATATCCTGAGTAGATTGCTTTCAAAGGTCATTCTAACCTTGTCTTTCATCTAACGACAAGAGCAGAAAACATAACGTATTTTTAATTAAAACGTTTTAAAATATATACTTTGTTGCTTAAAACGAAAATAAAATCATTTAATCGGTTATTGCAGCGTTTCACCTTAGCATGATTAAAATAAACACAAAATTGCAGTGTTCCTGTCACCTTGAATGAAGAATATACATACACCTGTCTTAAACTTGTGGAATTTAAGTGCATCAGTATTTAAAATAAACGTGAATACGCTTAAAATATCGCATTCTCGGGACAGCCGAGGAGAGGAAACTGCAACTTAAAATGTCTTATGTGAGAACTGTATATGGATTCAATGTCAATATATGTTCCTCTCGTTTGCCTCTGATTTTCAAGTTCTCCGTGAGGTTAGGAAATGGTAATTGGCTTGCGGAGTGGGATAATCCGTTTCTAAACAGGAAACTTTCTATTCAGTTATTATCTATGCAGTTATTAAAGATATTATCTCCGTAACCTCTAGTGTTTACTGAATCCATTACGATTTCACTGATTTATTCTTGTGACCCGAATTGTTTTATGTTATGAAGACGATACCGTTTTAGGAATCCTTGTTTAATATGTGTTCAGGAATCTAGCACATTACCTTAGCTGAACCTTCCTTGCATACTGTATGTCATATATCCACAAAGAACGAACGGTGCACACTTCCCTTACACTGATTTCAGCACCATAGTAAACGGAGAGCTCCCCTTTTGTCCCGCAAACGGCATCAACTAACTAGGTTTCAAAGCAAACGTAATAATTACCTGTCCCGGCGACTTGTTTCTTTAAAAAAAAAAAACGATGACTTAACTCTCCGAAATGAAGTTCCCTTTCAATGGAAGATAGGGATATTTAATTGCTCAATTCGCACATCCCTGTTTGCCAACCTAAAGGACGTCCTTGTTTCCTCTTGCACACTGACTGTACGAGTGTTTGTGAAAGGAACTGCAGCTGCTGATGAAGGAACTCAGTGAATCACATGGAGTTCTACCTTCTGAAACGTCCCACGTCCTGACACTGAGAAAAGAGAACAATCAATTATTAATGCTGCTGATTCGCTCCCTCCCTTTTCCTGCAATGGAATTTCCTGACTTGCTCACTTCCACAATAAACAATCCTCTCAGCGTATTTTGTGACCTACCTTCCAAACCTCCTTTTCTTTGATTATTGTGGCTGTATTTTATACCTGTTCATCATTCCTTATGGATCTTTTCCTTTTTTCCCCACAAAAGGTGGGGAAAAAGGTGAGGTTTAATATATTTTTATAATATCTTTTTTGTGTTGTTCTTGTCACATTATAACACATCCCTTTTTTGCCGCAAAGATTCAAGGAGTGTGCGTAAATCACAGTTGAGATGCTCAGAATGAGTTTAACAGCCACTGGTCGTTCATCTTTCAGTAATCGCTTCTGCAGCACGCGTTCACCTCTTTTTGTCCTTGGGGTATTTAAAGCGCTATTACCACTGTAAGAATGGCGTTACATTTTTCTAATTTAAGTTTATATTAAAATATTTTTCAATATTTCGGATGCAGTTTGTGAGATTATTAAATTAGCATGCTCAGATATCTCACCTATGTAAAAGGAACCTGCATAGAGATATGGAAACACCGTACTCATACTGTGAGTGGATAGCTGTTAAGATGGGGGTAGCATCCGCAGCACGAGAATATAGAAGTATATGAAATATTACAGCCATTTTACATACGTGTATATGTATTAGAATATATTTACAACTTGCCTGTTTAGTTTTTCTTTCACTGTTCTGTATTTCTCTCATTTGGGTATGTAAGGGGATTGCTATGCTTGTTGAATAAGAAATGGGTGTTCGATAGAAATGACCTAGGTGATGCCACCTCAAGGTCACAGGATAAAAGGATCGGAAGCTGCAGAAAAAAAATGTCCTACGGGACTTTTATTCAGTTTTAGTTTTTTATTTTTACTGATTCAAAACGAAATAATGCACGCTCTCTGAAAAGATATGTAAGAGAAATGTAAATGCTCCTTTGGGAATCTTTGTGGAATAAAAAGTATATATTTTGCTTAACACATATCTAATACAGTATATATAATAAATATAGAAGTAATACTTCTAATGGAAATAATAATGCCATTATCATATTAGGTCCAATAATCATGTACTCTTAATTGTACTGTAGCTATGTAAACTAGAAACATAATTCGATATATGGTAGAATGCTTATTTCTGTTTCTTTTTTGTGTGTTCGACGGGGGTGGAGTCATGTATATACATACAGCATAAGTTCAAAGCTTACAAAAAGACAAACACAGACATCCTCAGAGAAGTATCCGGGAGAACCCTCATGTACTGTAGTTGATAATTGCAGCTATTTTGCGTCATCCGTCATCCGTTACGTCAGGAAAGTATAGTGTTTTTACTACTGGAAATAAAAAGAAACGTTAACATGTCCGTCTGACATGTTTCTTACTATTTTTATTTTTCGATGGCTAAGCGCGTAGATAATACAGATTGCTACTTAATTATCGCTTTTGACACCATGTCCAAAAGGCGGCCTTCTCTCATGGAGATGATAGACTAGCGTTCTGTGAGATTGTGGGCAACTGTATATCAAACTCTATATGAATATGCAATGTTTATATTTCATTCCGTACAAATAACGAAGGTGCATGGAAGAAAATCGAAATAGCAAATTTAGAAAATACACTGATGTGAATAGATTGTTTTGCGTTATTTTGGTCTGTTCGTTTAAAACATTTTGATAAAACGAGCGTAGCCAAAATGCATTTACAAATCCGAGCAGTTATTAGGACTTAGACTACGTAGTGTCAAGAAGCTTTTATATAAAAAGTAATCCTTTTTCATGTCGAATGTAATTACCTTTGTCGAGTACAACATATTTCCTGGAAAAAAAAGGTTTTTATTTTAAAAAATGCTGTATCCTAGTATTTTTAACAAACACTTTATTTAAAGTATTATATTTCAATTTGTACAATGTATTCAAACCTTTGTAAAATGTATTTCGTACATTTTTTCCTTAGTTTACTTAGTTTAGCAGACATACACATTTTCATTTTTAAGTGGGTCATAATGTTTTTTTTTATTTTACCTACAGTATAACACGTTTTTGCTAAAATGTTACTTTAAGCAGTTTTGAAAACAGCTATGGTGCCAGTGCTAATAAAGAGTGGCTTGTGCCCTGCACTCCAATTGGAAAAAAGACTGAAAATATAATGGGGTAGTGAACCTAAATGTAATCTCCTGGATTCATAAGGACAAAAAAATCACCAATGTCAGAAGAACAATCTTTTGATATATAAATGGTTGGAGGCTATCTAGAACTGGGCTACCCTTTTGGGTTTTTTAATGAAAATCTTATTACTGTATGTTCACCTATGGTGCAGTAGCTGTACCGATTGCTAATTGAGATGGGAAGCTAAACAAATTACCTTGTTTGCTTTAACTCAAAGCATGTGCCTCAGTAAGGATGTACTGTATGAGCTACACTTACACATGTGGTGATCCCTACTAAAGCAATGCAATAATCCTACATCTTGAAAAGCCATATAAATGTTTATCAGGAAGAAGCTGCCATCATACAAAAAGGGACTATTGATGGCATCCACACAGTTAATACTGTATGTTTCTGCCTTGCATAATGCAGTGCCATAAATGTGTTTTTCAGAGCCTGTATGATTGCAGAATAACAATAGGTCATTTATTTTTACACAGTGTTCTTGTACAGATGCTTTGTTGAATAAAAAGAATAACTAGAAACATAACTTGCAATTAGAACCAACAAATTCATTTAAATGCTGCTTTCATTCTCACTGAACCTGTGATGATCAATGAACAATTGATTTATTCTTCAACATATTGGACAGGCTTAGCAGTGATGGAGCTTGTGCAGCATCTTTTAGACTCCAAAAATGGTCATTTTAGTCCAACAGTGCTCATACTTTGATAATCACAGAAAGTGAAGTGAATTTCATAAGGCTAAGGACACAGCAACTCTGGTGTATTAGCTTAACGTAAGAACAACCAAGGCACACTGTCCCTTCAGTGTTATGCTCAAGTTGCCCTGCTTCATAGTATTGAAAGCACATCCCTGCAAAGGTGAAGATTCTAGCCCCCCCATGTCAGAAGTCCTTTTTTTAGCCTACCACATACTGTAGTCTCCTTCTATGTGTATGTATTGATCTATAATTTCTACAGTCAAGGTAAACACGATATAGGGTAAATTGAGAACTAAATAGAAACATTCTATAAGCAAAGTACAAAGGGTAAGGGGAATCATTTTCCATGCATGGCAGGTTATATCTTTTCTCATATTGCTGCTATTGCTGTTGAAGTAATTGGAAAGCAGAGATTCAAGTTATAGAGGCAAACATCTATTTCAAGTAATTCAGATTGAATTAACCCAGAAGTCTATTTTAAAAATCTCATTGTATTCCATTACTACATTTGTGATGTGATAACAGTTTTAATTTTGCATTTCATTTTAGTTTTGAGGGCTTTATTCCTAAAAAAAGGAAATAAAGGTTATAAACCATGGGAGATTATTCAGAAGATTGTCATTTCACTGACAACATATTGATTCACAATCTCACCAGGCCTTTTCTTGGAGGATCCAAGGGACTGCATTTCAACAATACACTGAGGTGCATATTATAGGGACCAACCCTAGTTAAAAGCCTATTGTTTTCAACTTTAAAAGACCATCCTATCAATTTACATTTGTTTCTTTAGATTTATGTTTAAAATTTGGTTGTGAAGTATTCCTCTATGTAGACTAATAGACAATAGGACAATAGGATCCTTTCAGGATTTTAATTTCTAGTATCAGGTACAGTACCTTTGTAGTCCCCTCTGTTTAATACATATACTATTTCTTTATATCTAGGAATTACACTTGACACTGTTATTCATGTGATGAATCTACAGTTTGTCAGTTTTAAAGTAGAACATATTCAGACCTTTAAGTTTTGTAGTACAAAATTCTATTGCATTTTTCACTTAACCTTCCTAGGATTTCAAGCATTTTAGTATTTCTACCATTTACTTTCAGAGATCAATTTATACTGCTTCTTGAAATGATAATGTAAAACTTGCTTTATTCACCAAGCTGTCTTGGTACTATTCAATATTGTTATTACAACTGAAGAAAATTAATAAAATAATATACTTTATTAATGTGATTGTCTCTGTTTTAAGTAATAACAGCAAGCTGAAATTTAGATAGAGAATTGATGATTGTCCATATAAACCTGTCAGGGAAGGAATTTCATGACAAAGTTAATATTTCAATTGGCACAATTGCATATCCTTTTGTCTTGTTTAGTTGTTTTCACATTCTACACTAACTCAGATACACATGAATACATATTTACATGCTTTGATTGCAGAAACCCTTGATGAAAGGGGAGTGGAATCATAATATTTACAGTCTTATGGGTGTATGTCTATGCTTCAGCTATGTGATGTTGATGCACAAACAAATATCCAGCAATCTTTCTTGCTTGCACTTTATTTTAATACATCACATTCACACTTCCTCACACCATGTAAATTAATTGAAATATACAGTAGCATATCAGTGTATTTTCTCAAAGAGTCTAGTTACCTCTATGAGTAATCTCAAGCATAGCTGCAAAATGGATTTTCCAATAGTTTCCAAATTCCAACAGTAAAACAGCCTAAAAAATCCCTCCAAATCTACTCACAAAGATATAAAACAGCATAAAATCGACCATAATGATCTTCAGTTCAATACAACTTTTATGATACTAACCTAAAACAGTCCACATGGATAAAATACATAAAAGTCTGTATTTAACACAGAACCTTGGCCTTCTGCTTCATGATACATGTTGTTGACTTCTTACCTAGTGAACATCTGAGTGAATTGCTCATTTAGTACATACAGTAAGCCATTTCACTTGCATTGTCTAGAAGCTGTCTCCTATTGTCCCTGATATGTTTTACATCATGCTTTACAGTTCGTGTTGTTGAAATAATGACATATATTTTTTATTATTTATGTTTTAACCTCTATTGCAATATTTCTTTCCATTTCTTTTGGAATAATGCCCTTTTTGAATGTGTTCACAATTCATTGTACACCCATACCCAGGTATAAGAATATTCGGTATTTAAATTTTCACTAATCCAAACATGAAGAATTTGTTCCCTGTAAATCGTTATAAGGTCGAAGTTTCATCTATCCAAATTCTGAAGTTCAAAAGTGACTGATTTTGGGCAAGAACCTTCTTATACACTTGAATTCAGTGCCACCGAACAGCTGCATGTGCACAATGCATTATGGTTAAGG